GTCTATTTATTTTTTCTGTCAAATCGGGTCCTGGTTAATTTTGGCGATGTGGACCCGCGCCGTTTGTAATAGCTTAGAATTTACTTTTCTCGCAATTTTTAACTATTAATAATGACATGCAAGAATGAATGATAAAATAAAAACAAACGCATATATCACTTTGACAAAAGACAAAAATAAATGAAAACGACACACAAATCACACACCACCCCTAGGGTACGCCTCACTGTTGCCTTGCCTCGAAAGGTGATCGTCGAGTAGAGGATGTCTTAGTAAGTCCTCATGATCCGGGAACCTGGCATGAGGGTAGCTTCTAAGGTGTCTTCCCATTGCTCTGGTGATCACCATGTCCCGAACCTCGAATTGACCCGAACACCTCCAACGGTGGTGCTACCTACCTCTCAATGGTGGGATGGCACTACTTTAAAGGACATCTACACAGACGAATTCCTTAGGGTAGGTAGATGACTCTAGATGCTTGCTCTAAATTTCAAAAACAAATTCAAAAATACTTTTCACACCGACACCTTTTCAAAAAGCTTTCGAAAGTAATTTTTCAAACACTCTTGAGGACCGATACAAGAGTCGAACTGGAATTTCCAAAGAAACTTTTTTAAAACCCACAATTGAAAAGCAAACAAACTAATTTTGAAAACACAAATGAGCAAGTATCTAAGAGCCCATGGATAACCATGGATAGAAAGGGTGCTAACACCTTCCCTTTCTATAATCTACCTCCCGAACCGAGAGCAATCTCTTTAAGGAATTTTTCTGTGCTTTTGTCCTTTCCATTTGGAGAAAATAAAAGACGGTGGCGACTCTTGCTTACCGCGACATTTCGCGAACCAGCGTTAAACAGTCAGTTCCAGATCCACCGATCACATTAACCAAACCACATTACAACCTTAAAAAGCCATTGAGATTCTTGTTTTTATATTTTCAATGTAAATTTTTGGATGAATTCATAATTTAGTCTATTATTTGCAAAAAAATTGGATGAGTGAAAATACCCCATTTTTTGTGTTTTTCATCTACCGATGATTGTGTTTTCTAGGTGTGACTCACTTGTGAACTAATATTGTTTTAGAATGTTTGACATAATTTTTGTATTTAGCATTTGTTTCGTGTTTATGTTATGGTCGTAGTTTTGTGGTAAGTGTTTACTTTGTGTGTACTGTTTTTCATTTGACCCATTGCATTTGTTTTCTGTTTTCAAAACCCGTTGATTCATGATTCTTTGATTTATCATTCTTTTTCCTTTGAGTTATTTAATCTTTGTTTGAGGATAAACAATAGTTCAAGTTGGGGAGAGTTTGATAAGTGCAAATTGTAGCTATTTTTGTATATACTTTTTGTTGCACTTATCGACTTTTTGTTGTTAATATCGTTGAATAAACCCAACTTTTGTGTAAATACATTTATTTTGTGTTTATTTGTGTCTTTGTGTACATAGGGTACCGTTTGATATTTTTCCATTCATTTTATAGGTATTGATGCATATTTGGAGCGTGAGCAGTAAAGTGTCGAAGATACGACTTCAAATGTGCGATTTTGAGCAACTCGTCAATGAATAAGGCTCAAAATAAAAGAATAAGAAATCATAAATTTGGTTTATATTTTGTCAGTGTTAGAAAGACCATTGAATAAGCTTTCCAACGCTTCGAACCGGGCGCGAATCAGAGTTACAGTTCAAAAGTTATGGCCGAAACAGTGCAGAATGTTGTGTTGGTTTTTTAACTTTCTGTCATTCGTCGTCGGGCGACGCTAGGCAAGTTGTAGCATGGGAAAAACATTGTTTTAGTCGTCAGGCGATGCTTTTTGGTCGCCGGGCGATGATGGGCAGTCAAATATGCATATTTAGGTCTAAAAACACATTTTTGGGTGTGGTTTTGGGTATTTTTGATCCCAACTCCATCAACCTTCATTTTTGGATAGGATTAGCTTAGAAAACAATATTGAAGCTTGCATACGGATGATCTAGGGTGGATTGCTCATCAATCGGCACAGACAAACCAGGAGATTTGTGGTTTATTTCTCTTCCTCTTTGTGTATTCTTTATGTGTTGAGTTTGTACATGTATTTACTCTGAACTTATGTATATTTGTCGCCCATGGCATTATATTAAACTTGCTTTATAAATCTTTATCGATTATTATCTTAGATTTTTGCTATGTGCTAGAGATTTGAGTTGTTATAGACATATACTACTTAGATTCTTATCTAGGATGATTATCTGTTAGTTTCTGAACTCTAGAGATAGATTTAGAGGTGACATCTACTTGGGTATCAGAGCTTAATGCCTCTGTGTGGTTGTGTTGTACTGAGAAATCGTCAGTGTGATTACATAGTTGTCTTCTGTGTTGTTGAGGAGGTAGAGAGATCATTTCCTTGGTGATACAGTCGGTCTCTCAATTTGGGTTAGAAATGATTTAGGTTATGAGTGATACATAGTGACATAGATGAGTATTGTTAGGTTAAACGTAACTGGTCGATAGATTTAAGTCTGTGATGAGTAGATTATATGCAGGCTTGATAAGTTCTTCCTTAGTTTTTACTTTTGTTTACATTTATTTTCTGTTAATAACATTTTCTTTACAAAACCCATTCAACCCCCAAACTCATTAACAATGATTTGTTGAACGAAAATTCAATAACCAATCTTCGTGGACACGATAAATTCCCAGATAAATATTTCCAAAACTTTTGTTGCTTGCCGCTACACCACTTCCAACAACACCTCATAAGATAAGATCTGAGGTTCCGTGTCATTTTTTGACGGCCAACAGACTTAGCCTTGTTGACATCCTCGACGATGTTAAGATGATCATAAAGAAATTGGAGCCCATCGAAGTTGTTGGACCAAAACTTGAACTCTCCAAAAGCATGGCTATCCTCGGGTTCTCCCATCAGAGAGGTAATCTCCATATCAACTCGACAAAACTTGTAGCTTATTAGGATCCTGATCCTTTTGGGAGTACCTTGCTGAACCTCCTCTTGGATAACTGGAGTAGAAACTTCGGGCTCAACCACGCTAGAGGTAGCCTTAGAGCCTACCCCTTTGCGCTATTTCAAAGTCTGAGTTCCAGCCCGGACAGGTCTGACTTGATCGCAGAGGCCTCACCTACAGCCCTCCGGGCAGCCCTCGCCTCTATCACCAATCTCTTCTGCTCGACCACCGAAAGACCAATCATCTTATTTGTAAAGAAAGAAAAAGATGGTGTAAGTATTGTATAAGAACATGTGATGGATAAAAGAAAAACAAATTCTATTACCAAGGAAGTCAGGAATCTGTTCAACGGTTAGAGACAATAAATCTTTGACCTTTATCATACAAAAAGAATCAAGCACGGTCAGAGATTGGACTTCCAAGTCGCTTAACTTCTCAAGGGTAAACCTGAATATAGGAGAAGGGTCTCGAGTCCAGTAGAAGGGAAAGTGGGGCTGCCCTCCCAAAGAGTATAAGACTTGGGGGAACCTTGACCCATGTTTCACCTTCAGGAACCGCTTCTTGAAACCCTTATAGTTGGAGGTATACACCTGGAGGAAACTTCTATGAGGAAGATCATTACTTGGATCCAAGAAAGCTTCTCAACCCTTATTACCTCATAAAAAAAGAAGAATAGACTGACTGTGTGAATGATATCCATAGCCCCACAAACTATCTCAAAGGCCTTTATAAAGCCCCAACTGTTAGGGCGAAGTTGTGAGGGTGCGACATTCATGGACTTCAAAACATCGGCTTCGAACTCAGAGAAGTGTATACAGACTTTGAAATCTTCCAAAAACCCCAACTTAGAAATAAAAGAAGTCTTCATCCGTGGACTTTCGACGAAGCACACATACGCGATCCCCGAGGACGCACGCCTCCAGGATAATGTCACCTTCTTCACCAGTTGAAGAGACCTCCATCAAGGACTGAAGTTTGGCGATATCGGTGTCATCGAGCATGCTATTCTTGTAACCCATAAGTTCGAGGTCGAAAGGGGCAGAAGCTTCCATCAGAAATTCTACGGAACACGAGGAGGAAGAATCGTGGTCAGAATCACTCAAAGAAGCAAGGGTGAAGCCATAAACTTCTCTTGTGATCCGATCAAACCCCTCATGACCTAGAACACGTTGCACCTCTCGCATGCATTGGTCCCACAACTCTTTTCTCTCCTCGGCGTTATAGGGTTTTGCGATATTTTCTTCATCGTCACACTCCCTTAGGGTAACCATAATCTAAAAGGCAAAAACGAAAATGAAAAGATAAGAGAAAATACTTAAAAAATGGGGAACACTTGAAGCTGATTTGAACGTCTTTGAAAGATGTAACGCCTTCTGCAGTATTAGAGATAAAAAAGAAAAAGAGAGAAAGTAGGGCTTTAATAGAGTCTAATAAACAATGCACTAGGAGAGGGAAACACCACCCAATGAACAAAGGTTTTAGGTGGAAGACATCATTACTTCAGGAAAGAGAAAGTGGTGACTATTCACTTCACGACATGTGGGTCAGAATAGAGCAGCAACCTGGCGACGCCTGGATTACCTTCTGCGACTACGTGATTGAGTACGACGTCTTTACAAGAAAGGACTTGAACTCAGGGGAATTATGTACATCATAGAAATAATAGACCTGATCGAATAGTGTAATCGGTAAGGAGAAAAGTTAAACCAGTAGTCGGCTCAGGGAGAAGGTATCTAGGGTGCAACTCGGCTAAGGGAATATCAGATGACCCATAGACCCGAGTAACAACTTGTCATCATCATCGACCCAGATAGAGTAGGTAGTCGGGACGCACCTGCCTGTGACCAGTCATCATCTCGGCTCATTAATACTTGTAACCTCCGACGGCACAATTATTACACAGCCTTGATTCCTCTATTCATGAGAACGATAGAGGTTATAGAGTTATGGAACTCAAGAATTACTCATTAACTAAGGCTCGTGAAAAGCCAACCAAATATTTGTTGTACACAAGACAAAGAGTGAAGATATAATTTTTCTTATTAAATAGACGATGCGAAAGAAAGTGTGTAGTAGAGTAATGAGTGTAGCAACAGCAAGGTGGTTGGTGGGACCCACACCATTTCCTCTTGTTGTTTCCTGTCCATACAAGAATGCAGTAATGAAACCCTTCCACTCCTCCGTTGACGTGAGAATGTCCGGCGAGCATCCCTCGGTAGAAATCACGGGAGGCGCACGTGAGCGTTTCCTCCCATCTGTGACTCAACTGAGTCGCCCATACAAACCTTTCCCCTTGGTCGCATGGAACTGCCACGTGGAAACAATCTTCGCCGCGTTTTTCCGAACGACCCCAGACGTGAAGCTCCGGCGCGAGTGCCTGAGAACTGATGACGATGGATCCGTGGCTCTCGATTGGGTTTCTGGTGATGAGCGACGGTTGCCTCGAGACGCTCCTCTTGTGATTTTGCTGGTTCGTTCCTTTGTCTGTGGTGCTTCGTTTACACATATTATTAGTCAAGCTGGTTGGTTAATTTTGTTTGTTTAATGAATGTGCACGCGCACGGCAGCCAGGCTTAACTGGAGGTAGTGAGGATTCTTATGTTAGACACATGTTAGTTAGAGCGGCAACTAAAGCCTGGCGTGTTGTTGTCTTCAATAGTCGTGGATGTGGAGATAGCCCCGTCACTACTCCTCAGGTCAATTCATTCTTTTTCATATCTTTTCTTCCTTTCTGCACTTCTATTCAGCTTCCTTTTTACTAATATATATATATTTCCTTTCTGCAGTTCTATTCAGCTTCCTTTTTAGGAGATATGCGCCAAGTTGTTTCCCATGTCTCTGCTAGATACCCCGACGCTAATTTATATGCAGTTGGTTGGTCACTTGGTGCAAATATTCTTGTTCGTTACTTGGGTCACCAATCACACAATTCTCCTCTTTCTGGCGCTGTATCTTTGTGCAATCCATTCAATTTGGTTCTCTCAGATCAAGACTTTCGAAAGGGCTTTAACAAAATTTATGACAAGGCTCTTTCTAAGGCTCTCCGCAACATTTTTCACAAACATGCTTTACTCTTTCAAGATATTGGGGGCCAATATAACATTCCACTAGTTGCCAATGCCAAGTCTGTTAGGGAATTTGATGACGGACTAACCCGTGGTACCTCATTCTAACTTGTCGTGTCCTAGATACATCCTAATTTTCACCTATTATCTCCTCATATATATGACACTTTGCAGTTTCTTTTGGATTCAACTCTGTCGATGAGTACTACTTTAATTCAAGCAGTTCAGATTCCATTAAACATGTTCAAACACCTTTGCTCTGCATCCAGGTACAAAATTCTTATCTATATTTCTCTTCATATCTACTTGTATAAACTTGAAAACAAATCAACAACTGTCAAATGTGATTTGCAATCTCCATTTATTCATTCAATTATACTCTATATTCTTAAATAATAATAATAATAATAATAATGTTATCTTTATTTTATAAACTAAGGGTTAGATCTGATTTTAAGAAACATATATATAAACTCTGATTTTATTTCCATAAATATAACTGAAACAGACTACTTAAACCCATAATCATTCATCATGAGAACTCTGTTAGGATCCTTTCTTTTAGCAAGAAAGAATTCCTAGAATAATGGTGCAATACAGACTCAAATGAGTAAAAATAAAGAGTGTAAATGAATGGAGTTTATTAATAAGGTTGAAAGAGAGGATACAAAAGATTTACAATGAAGAAGATAACCTTGCACACCTTTCACACTAGATAGTTCTCTAGTCACATAACTTAATTATTCAAACCTATCCTTCCCCTCTTACCAATTCAAGACTATTTTAAGACTTTCTAAGAATAACCAAAATAACAACTCTTAACAACCACCTAAAAAACTTATCAACTTACTAACTCTTCTAATTCTCCAATATTATATATCCTAATAAACTCACACTATGAAATGCAAGTTGGTGGTGACTCGCAGCTCCTTTTGAGTGCTTCAATGAAAATTCACTTGTTGTGTATATGTACGTGTTTGGTAGGGAGGAGGATGTTACAATAAGATACAACTAATCCTGAGGAAATTGCAATAGAACTTTTAATCTGGCTAAAGGTCTATCTGAATCTTTTCAATTTTCAATGATATATAAATTGTTGACTTGAATTTAATTAAAAGGTGATAATGATGAAAGCAAAATACCTGAATATGCCATTTAAAAGGATTGGTAAGGATTTCGTTCTTACATATGCTATTTGTGTTGCATAAGACTGAAGTTTAAATGGGCTAATGGAAGAAGAAAGTGTATTGAATTATATGTGAAGTAAATCTCCAGATGGGACTAATATTATTTAGTATAGATTAAGCTATCGAGCTTTATGTTGTTACTTGTTACCCAAATGCTAATAGCCCAAATCTATGGAACTGGTTAGAATTTTGCACATTTTATCGTATAAAAAACAAATATATTTACTCTGAACACTTCCTTTTTTTCCAGGCAGCCAATGATCCGATTGCTCCTTCTAGGGGAATTCCTCGTCAAGATATCAAGGTATGCAATATTTTAAATCAAGGAATATAGTCTTATCATTCTCGACTAAAATGTATTTCATAACTATAAATGAGATGGAGGATAGATATTAAATATTATGATTTTTTTATTTAACTTATTGAGACGTGGTATAGATACAATGATCCATGATTCCGTAACTTTAAATTTTTTACATGTACTCTTATTTTGTATTGATATCATATTTATCCTTCTCTAGAAATTTGTACAACATTTCCATTTTTGAAATTCAAATGCTTACAGCACTTAGTTTTGTTATTTAAGCCATCCTCTGTTATATTACCAAATACCAAGCATGTTAACACACTTTTTCAACCATCACATTTTCATCAGTATCAAGTTGGACATTGTGATTTCATCACTGACAACTGATTCTGTGGATTATTTTATTGTACCTCACTCGGTTGATAAGATAGGTTTGGGTTCATGGCAATCATAATCCTGTAGTCGTTGTTGGATAAAGATCAGCTGACCCATATTCAACATCAGCAAATCAGATTTAATACATGGAATCAGAACGTGAGCTGTCTGATCTTCATATAACAATTGTGATCATATGAAGATAGTTACCAACAGTTTCTTCTTTTGTAATGCTGGCTGATTAACTAAGCTATGATTCTGCTAATTCTCTCCCGTGTCTATCTATATTAAAGTAGGGTTAGTCCTTTTTTCTTCCTTTAGACAAATGTTAGTATCTTCTCCTCCAACCCTTAAAATCAAACTAATCGAACTTCCAACCTCCAAAGATAGTCTTTATTAACAAGTTCATTTGTATTAATCTATATTCAAGAAAAATCCTTGTTATTATGTCAGGAAAATCCAAACTGCTTGTTAGTAGTGACATCTAAAGGTGGTCACCTGGGATGGGTTGCTGGCGATGAAGCTCCACTTGGAGCCCCTTGGACTGATCCTTTGGTGATTGATTTCCTTCAATATCTGGAGACAGAAGCAGCCAAAGCCCCACAAACTGGTAGCGATCCAGGAGATAATAAACAGACTTTGCATCACCTTCAAGTGTAGTGTAGTCTAGTGAGACGCTATTACATATTTCATCATTCATTCATCAAGATCATTCTGCTGTCCACAAACATAACATTCTAGAATATTCTTAGTCCCCAGAGTGCCAACATCCGGAAGCAATTACACTCTCCTTCCTACTCTATCAAAGCATGCTGAATACCATTTGATGAATAGCTATAGAAAGTATATAATCTATAATCAATATATACTGTAATTCTTTGTATTTTTAAATTTTATCATTGATATTTTATTGGTACATTTTTAAAATGATTTCATTTGCACTTTGTAGTTACTGGATTTCTAGTCATCCTATATATTATACAATGTGAAAGGCTACTTGGCCGAACATTGCAGCAGTTTATTTAGCATCATAAAATAGAAAAACATGAAAATTTATACCTTTTGTACTTTCAAAGGTTCTTCATGACTATTATAAATTGCAGCTTGGGTTGTTACTCAAGGTATGTAATTTTATGCTTTTTGTTTCTCAAATTAATCCAAAGGAAGTTGATGAAACTTTCATCTGACAAACATCAGTCTCTTGCTATACAAGAAGAGTTAAAGCAATGTGATAGAAACGTTTGGAAACTTGTCCCCGAAGCTTCAAATAATCAAGTGATTGGTACTCTGAGTTTTTCACAACAAGCTTGATGAGTATGGAAATGCTTTAAGAAATAAATCAAGATTCGTTGTGAAAAGATACCGTCAATAGGAAGGTATAGATTTCGATGAAAATGCCCATGTAGCTTGATTAGAAGTCATAAAGATGCTTCTTGATCTCTTATGCATCTTGAATTTTAAACTCTTCTAAATGGATGTAAAAAGTGTTGATCAACCTCCCGACTCCATTAGTACTTTTCCAAATCATGTTTTCAAAATGAAAAAAGCTCTCTGCGGTGTGAAACAAGCCCATAATGCTTGGTATGATTGCTTAAGTATGACATTTTATCAAGAAAACAATTTTCAAAGAGGGATGGTTAATAAAACTCTTTTCATTAAGAAATATGAGCATGACATTTTATTATTTCAAATTTATGTTGATGATATTATTTTCGGTTACACTAACGAGTCCTTGTGCAAAATTTTTCTGAGATGATGCAAAATAAATTTAAGATGTCTATGATGAGGGAACTTTGATATTTAATGGGCTTATAAATTCATCAATCAAAAGAAGACACATTTATCAATCAAGTTAAGTACCGTAAACAACCACTCAAAAGATTCATCATGTGTAAAGCCAAGTCAATTTCAACATCGATAAGCACTTCTTGTAGCTTGGACAAAGACGAGGCAAGAGAACTAGTCGAAGAAAGCAAGTATCATGTCTGTTGTGTCTTTGTGCCAATTTTCAAGCAAACACTAAAGAATCACATCTCACCGTGGTAAAACGCATAATGACATATCTCACTAGCATACCACAAAATGAGTTTATGGTATCTCAGAGGAACGAATAGTACCTTGGTAGGGTACACTGACTTTGATTTCATTGGGTACTGTTGTACCTCAAAATTTGCCCTCTCATGTTTCCCAAGGTTTCCTCTTACATGGGTGGTTACAAACACTTTCCTAAAGAAAATGAAGTTTTTTGAATGATAGCAAAGTGTCTTTCGATTGACAGGTGAACAATGTCCTTCGATCGGCATCTGAACAATGTCCTTCGATTGGCATCTGACAGTGTCTTTCGATTGGCATCTGGACAATATCCTTCGATTAGAATATCAGAGTAAAGGGTCATTCGATTGGCATGTCAACATGCTTCGATTGGGCATCTAAAATCCTTCGATCAAGCATTGGCCCACCAGCTTTGATTGAGTGTTGGGTCCCCTTCGAGCAAGCCTTGGTCCAAGTTTCATTTAGGAAAGAACCTCTTACAAGTTCCCTTTGATTCACCAACAATGGTCTCCTGCATGTCTATTTTGACTCACTAGGCAAAAAGCCTCTACATGCAACCTTCGGCTCACTAGGCAAAGGTTTCTTCATGCTTGCCTTGGAGTCACTAAGTCAAAGCTTCCTTTCAAATGGCCTTCGATCCACAAGGCAGAAGCTCCCTCATACTTGTTTGGGATTCACAAGGGAAAAGACTTCTTCTATGATTGCTTTCATTGCATAAGGCAATGATTTCCTCTGTGTTTGCCTCCAATGCACAAGGCCAAGACTCATCAACACAGTTTCTGCACTATGGCACACAATATGACCCCTTCAAAAGAGCGTTCCAAAGGTCCAGCCGAAGGATACACATTGGTGGCCCATTCGAAGAAGGCACAATGCATGCATATGGACTATTCGAAAGACACACAAAAAGTCCATTCGAAGGATATATAGGTGGTCCATTCGAAGGAGACACATAATTATTGAAAGCAATTTTGCCTTATGATGAGTCTTGATCCTACATGTTGTCAGGCCCAAGCCTCCTGTGCAATGACATTCGAAGGAAGTGACAAAGGTGGTTTCGACTGGCCAAAATGAAGTTCTCGTTTGGGCTATTTGAGTGTTGCAGAATCAAGCAGCTAAGGCAAATAGATGGGTCAAATCGAAGGAGCCATGAGTAGCAAGTCATAGCCAATCAAAGAGCAAAGATAAGGTGTACTTCGAAGGCATGTCAACAAAGTGTCCTTCGATTGGCATATCAGAACAAGATGTCTTTTGATAAGCATATCAATAAGTTGACATTTTGATTGGCCCAAATTGAGGGAAATCGAAGAAGGAGGAATGAAGCTTCGACCATCCCTAAAGTCACTTCGAATGGCCACCTAAAAGAGCAAAGGCATCCCAGGCTTTCGATTCGCATCAAGTTGGAGGCCCAAAAAAACTCAGAGCAAGCTGACAGAAGCGCATGATTGGATAAAATATGACAAGTTTTCATGAAAATCAAATCAAATTTCTCCCTCATGATGACCAAAGATTTGGTACACAAATATTGACCTAAATCTTTGCCTATATAAACCCAACAATCTCAGACGCAAAGGGACAAAGATACTGCCTCATACACGCATACACGACTTAAGAAAAGCATTACCAAAAACCCTCAAAATCCAGCAAAGTTGTCAAGATAAAAACACTCTTTGCAGGCTCCTCCAAGTCCAAACGAATACCAGCTCTCCTCCAAGCCTGAAGCACACCCAAAAGTCACGCACCAAGCCCATCGGTCCTTGGTAAAACTCAGGATCACAACCTTTCGATTACAATTTAAATTGATTTTACATGCATGTTTATATTATTATTGATCATTCATATGAATATGAATTTTGAAAGTACAGGGTGTCATTTTATGGCTTCGAAGCAGCTAGGCTTCAAACTAGGTGATACAGGGATCTTTTGCCAATTTTAACCACAAATTTGGACTTAAGAGATGATCATACGTAGGGTAGGATCTTTGAATTTGTTTCGATCCAACATTTGATCAAACTTGCAGGTGTGTGTGCAGGGGAAGGACCTAGGTTCGTCACCCAAGTTTGTATTTGTTTCTTTTTCTAACGCTTGTACTGCAGATCAAGCCTGAGCAGACCAACGCGCACAAAATTGAAGGACCTGGGTTCGACACCCAGGTCCTGCATCTTTATTTTTCTAATGCTTGTCTTACAGATATGGATCAAAAAGCAGTTTTCTCCTAGATCGAAGAAGACAGCTCCTTCTCTGGATCGAAGGAGACAGTTCCTTCTCTAAATCGAAGAAGACAATTCCTCCCCTGGATCGAAATACCTTCATTCATTTGTTTATTTCTTTTATTTCTTGCCTCCCTTTTTTATTAACATTAAAACAAAATCACAAAAAAATTTAGGTCTAGTTTGTTTTTTTTAAATCAAAATTATTTTTATTAACTAATTAATTTAATTACTGTAACATCTTTATTAAAATTAAATAGACTTAGACTTTATTTTTTTAAAATAAATAAAAACAAACAAAAAGATTTTCTTTCCCTGGGATTTTTTTAGACGCGCACATTTATTTATTTTCATACTTTTCATATTACTGTAACTGCTCAGGGATGTAATAGAAATTAATTAGGACTATTTACCGCTTTTCTTTATTTTTTTCAAGTTTTGGACATGTAATTATTCCTCAAAGCCATGTAATAACGTATGATTTACATTTCCGCACTTTTAATTCATGTACATATATTAACTGCTTAGATGTATGCTAATAAGATTGTATGATAAGATTAAAATTAACACGATAGCAAACCTAAACAAAAAGACTAAAATAACTGAACATAACACACATTGTACATATACACCTCTAGGGTGCTCCACTTTGGTTTCCTTCGGAAAAACAGTCATGTCCCTCGAAACGGGGACGCTTTAGCAAAGACCCGTAAATCAAAAGATCATAGTCCATCGATGACCCTACAGTTGCCTTTCAGTAAATGATCTAGTCCTTAAACAAAATTTCTAAAGCGTCTCTACATGTTGCCTTTATGACTGTACGTCCCTTCGAATGTTCCTCATACATCCAACGATAGGGCTTACCTACTCACTAATAGTAGGATAACACTGTCTAAAGGATAGGAGGAAAAGAACAAGCTTTTCGAGTACAAGTAGATAGTTCCTAGATGCTTGCTCAAATCAAATAAACTTTTTACACTTACACATTTCAAAAACAACTTTGAAAAACATTTGCTTTATCAACACTCTTGAGGACTGATACAAGAGTTTTCATAAAGCGAATCGCCGCACTAAGGCATTTTCAAATACTTTTCAAAAACACAATGCACAAGGTATTTCAAAAAATGAGCTAAGCATCTAAGAGCCCGTAGAGAACTACGGATGGAAAGGGTGCTAACACATTCCCTTTCCATAATCTACCCCCCTTACTCAGAAAATTCTCGAAAAGGTCTTTTTCTGTTCTTTTCACCCTTTCCTTAATTTGGATAAAAGAAAAGTCGCTGGCGACTCTTGCTTACCGCAACATTTGTGAATACAAATGCAAAATCAGTATAACAGTCGGTTATGCCACCGTATCACAGGTACAAATTAGATTAGAAAAGTATTTGGGTACGAGTC